ACGACCTGATTCAGAAAGTATAGATTGCGCCTCATGAAGTCTCGGATTATCGAATGGCCGACAGACTGTTATTTGAGAAGACTGATGTGAACGATAGGTTGTGCGGCCCCGATGATCAGGAGATTCGTAGTCTGATTTTAGGGGAATGCCACGACACCGAAAGGACATTTTGGTTGGAGGAAAACTTAGGTGACCCTCCTTCGGTCCTACACGTTACCTGATATGAAACATGAAAGCATCACATACATGCAAGGCTGCTAAGTCTGTGAGTGGAACAAAAGTTTCATGCAACCTCCCACAGGAATGTTGAAGCCCTTACCCATCCCATCACTCCCCGACGAATTTGTGTCGATTGATTTCATGGACAATAAGGTCAAAAGTACAAATGGTAAGAGTCAAGTGATGTTCATAGTAGACAAATTTAGTGAGTATGTTGTTTTCGTTTCGTTGCCTGCCCAAGCAAAGACTAAGTTAGTGATTAGGGAGTTCTTCAACCATTGGGTCAAGGACTATAGACACCCCTTGACCATACTTAGTGACCTCAACACTAGGTTTGCAGGGAGCACTAGCAGCAACTGATTAAAGTCTACGGGTCTAAGTTTGAACATCTCGTCAGGCCGACACCCTGAGACTAACGACCAGACTTAGTTGTTGCAGCAAGTGCTACGGATGTACATTAGTCAGGATCAACAGGATTGGGACGAACATCTCTGTAAGGTAGCAAGTGCGTATGTAGCGGACCTCTGGATGGCCTGTGAGACCAGCCCCTTGGCCTGTTCTCACATGCCTATGTTGTATTCGGGGCAGTCGAGTCCAGGCCGGTACCTCTGTCGGTACCAGCCAGTCCAGTCCAGTCCCGTCAGTCCGCTGGGGTATACCCCAGCTGTTGTCTGTTTTCGGATTCATTCTACATTCGCACAGTTTGGAGTACGTGCGTTGGAGTCTGGCATGGGAGTTGCGTTGTGCCATCTCGCTCCCCCTTCTTCCTCCATCTCCATCTCTGTCCCAGGCGGAGCACCACACCTGGTGGGTCCGCCACACTGGTATCGGAGCGGGAACGTTCCCCACTCCCCCCCACCCACTGCACAGCTGGGAAAACAACAAAACCCAACAACGGGTTTTTTCGCTGTTTTTCGGACGATTTTCAGCGAAAACTAGGGAAAAAAGGTGCAGCAGGAAGTGACACGTGGCAAAAAAGGGAGTGCCGTCACGACGCGTGCACGCCAAGGCCAAGGCCGCCGCACACGCACACGACGCGTGCCGCTGGCCCGCCCCGCCCCGCTCCCAGATTTATATTATTAAGATCCAGGATCTTGCTGTCGCTGGGGTTTGAACATAGGCAGTTGCTGGTCTTGTGCGTGCGTGGCTGCTCCCGTAACAAACTCGCCATACTATATGTATGGCTTTGTAGTGTGGCACGTTGCTGTTGAAGAGGTGCGTGCCAACTATTTACCCCCCCCGCCGTCGAGCAGCGACCAGCAGGGCAGCAACGGCCGGGCTGCTATTTGCCCCGCGCCCCCCCTCCCCTTGGCTGCTGCTTCCTGCGCACGTGGCCATTTGCAGTGCCACGTGGCAGTCTGCTCTGAAGACTGAAGACCCCCCTGGCTAGGGGGCTGCGCCACATTATTTTTTGTACTATTTTTCTACTACTGCAGCAGCAGTTTTGCAGCAGCTCAAGCTTCCCCCCCTGCCTAGGGGGCTGTGTGAATGTGGCAGTAGGGTGGCTGATCAAGATCTCAGCCAACCCTAGATCATCATCATCATTCTGTTATTGTTGTGGCATCAGGTCAGCAGCACCTTGAAGGCCAAGATCCTGTGGATCTTGGTAGTGCTTTGCTCTTGGCCAACCAAGAGCCTGGTATTATCTCTCTCCACTAACCTACCCTCCCCCAACCCCTTTTCTCTCCCCCCCCATCATCTAATCATCCTTTCTAACTCTACCACTACCCCCCCTCCTCCCACCTCCCTTTTCACTCATCTCCCACCACTNTCATCCTTTCTAACTCTACCACTACCCCCCCTCCTCCCACCTCCCTTTTCACTCATCTCCCACCACTTTTTTCTCTCCTCTCCTCCCCACTCACCATCTTCTACTAATCTCATCTCCCCCATCTCCCACTTCACTCCTTCTCTCTCTCTCACCTATTTCTCTCTTCTTCATCACTCTTTCATCCCCTTGCCCCCCCCCTACTTCGACTTTTTCTGTTTTTCTTTTTTTCCCTTTCTTTTTGATTTCAATCTTCTATTTTCTCCAAAAATTTGAATTATCTTATTTCCCCCCCTCCCTTCTCATTTTCTGATTTATTTTATTTTTTCTTTTATTTATTCTGAAAATTCAAATTTCTTTGCGGCACCCTTAAATCTGACTAGGCGTTGGTCTTTCTTGCTTTCGACACACATTTTGACCCAGTGGGGGTAACGAAGTCTTTCACTTAGTCTTTCTTGGCACACTTAGACCCCATGGGGGCAACGAAATGATGCCGAAACTTTTGAAAAATCAGATACTTCATTTCTCTCCACCTCCTCATTCACTTATTCACTTATTTATTTATTTATTTATTTATTTATTTATTTATTTATTTATTTATTTATTATTTCTTTATTTATTTTTTGAAATTTTTAATTTGCGGCAGTTTGAAACCTAGTGTGCTTATCTTGGTCTCTCCTTTCCTCTTGGCACATTCTTGACCCCATGGGGGGTAGGGAAATGCTGCCGAAAATTCTAAAAAAATAAATATTATTTCTCTCTTTATATTTTATTTCCTTATTTCTTTAATTATTTTTATTAATTATTTATTTCCTTATTTATTTTTATTTTGCTCTCGAAATTTCGCTGTTTATTTTTTTTTTTTCCCGCCTTCCCCCCCCCTCTGCTAGCTATTTTATTTTCTTGATTAGGTCACCGGTACGCTACCCTAACCACTCAAACTCTGGTTAGGGTTTTCTTAGGGGTTTTCTAGGGTTTAGGGTTTTTCTAAATCCCCCCTACTTTCCCTTCTCATTCGGCCACCCTGGATCCGAATCACCCCTCCCCCTACGCCCTCCTCTCATGCGGACCTCCTCCGGCCCTCCCTAGTCGGGCCCGTTACCTCCCCGTGGCCGACGACGTGTCATAAGCCGCCAAGGCGGCAACGACCTCAACATCGGGCTCCACACCCGTGCCGACGGATCAGGGCCACCAGCCCCAGGGGGATCTGCACACCCTCATTACCTCCCTCCTTGCGCCCTTACAGGCGCAAATAGCGACTCTTGTCGCTGGCCTGCGGCAATTCCAGGATGTTGGTCGTCCTTCCTCTCCCCACTCTCTCTCTTCTCTTGGCTCCCAGTCCGGGTCCTCCGTCCTCCGACATAGTGGCCATGGCGGAGCTTCCTCCTCTGCCGCCCGCGACCCCGCCATCCTGGTGACCATCCACGCTCCTAGCGCGACGACCACCACGGGCCAGACCCTCACTCACTCTACGGGCGCACCCGCCCAGATTCCGGTCACTACGGCCACGGGACCACAACCCGCTACCATGGTCTCAGCTTTTCCGGGTGCCCCACTTCTCCCTCCCCTTTGCATGACCGCAGCATCACCTGGCTCTTCCCCCTCTGGGATGCCCCGCGCCGCTCGTGCGTCCACTTCCCCCACTCTCCCTCCTGCCACTCCTCGCTCGATCTACATTCAACGTCTCGAGGACGAGCTTGCCCAGACCCGGGCCGACCTCGACTTCTTACGCCTTCAGCCACCCCCACGCTCACAGGTGGTCGCGCCTTCGGGCGCACCCCCTTCTTCCTCTACTCTTCCATTCTTGCCGGCTCGCTTCCCCCGCCCTGCACCCCCTCCACCCCCATCCTACCTCCTTCCTACTCCCTCGGCGGCTGCGACCTCTTCTACCACAACTCCCTCGCAGCTTGCCGTTGTTCCCATCGCCGCTCCACCATGCGGCCCGGGCGGACAGTCAGCTGCACCCGCTTCTCCAAGACCTGCGCCGACTTACTCGCTCGTAGCGCAGGCCTCTGCTCCCCGCTCTCCTCGCCGCCAAAACGGTGGCACACCACTCGTTCGCTTGACGGACATTGCCTTGTATGACAGTACAGGCATACGCTTGTCTCGGTGGCTACAGTCTGCCACCCGCACGCTCCAGCTCATGGGTGCCCCACCCGACACGTGGGTGGCTCACCTCTCCACACGCCTGTGTGGAGGTCCCTTCAACGCCTGGGAGGATTTTTACGCTTACTCCCTTCGTGCGGGTCGGATTCCGACCTTCGTGGATTTCCAGGCGTTCCTCGAGGATCGCTTCGGAGCCCGACATGACGTGACTAAGGCCTTCGAGTGTGTCGCCACTACACGCTGGTCCGTCTCTGGTGGCGCTGTCGGCCTGGATCGCCACATCCAGGTCTTTTAGGACGCCCGCCCCATTTGTGATGTGGCGTTTCTTCCCGAGGTTGCCCTTATCGATCGTTTCTTGGCCAAGCTTCCCCTTGAGTACCGCTCCGAGTTATGGCGGTACGAGTTCACATCGGCCCCGCAGGCTTACGAGGCCGCTCGGGACCATCAGCGGATGCGGGCCCGTCTTCAACACACTTCCTCCTCCCAGCCTCAACGTACTGGTTACGCCCCCTCCTCCTCTCACGGGACTTCCCAGCGCCGTTCCCCTTTCCGCGGTCGCCCCCGCGCAGCAGGGCCGCCACTTCTCGCGCCGCTTCAGCGCGCTCGAGTATGGTGAGCAGGAAGTTGTTGCCCCGCTGACGCCTGAGGGTGACCATAGCGACGACCTCGACCTCGGCGAGGCCGTCCACTACCACATGGAGGACTCTACTCTCCCTATGGACGACCGCCTCCAGCTCATCCTCTCCGCCCTCTCCCGGGCACACAGCCGCCCCGGTCACGCTGGCGCGTCGCCTTCCGGGGTCCCTCAGCAGGACCTCCCTCAGGGCTTTGTCCCTCCTCGCGGTGTTCTTTCCGCTGAGGAGCGCGCGACCATTTTGGGTCGGCGTGGGTGTTTGCGATGCCGCCAGGACGGTCATACCTCCTCGCGGTGCCGCCCTCGACCGCCACTACGCTGAGCTTTCCTGCCAGCGTCGTGCTCAGTCCCCCCCCGGTGCCTTGCATCCCCGTGGTGCCTTCTAGCCACGGTGCAGTGTACACCTATGCCCTCCTCAGTAGTCGACTTCCCGACATCCCCGTCGTGGTTTGCCCCTCTTGCTACTAGAGTTGAGGTATCGCAGGACCCGACAGAGTGTACTCAGCCCTCTGTCGCAGTACCGTTTGCGCCTCCGCAGACCACCATTCCCCCTTCTACCCCTTCGCGACTACCGACGCGTCGAGCCATTCGCTCAGCCCGTTGCAGCGAGGAGCTCGCTACTCACAAGGACGTCGTGTCCTCTCTTGTGGACTTGAGCATGCTCCAGGCTCGTCAAGAGCGACTCACCCTCCATGTCGTTGCAGTGCGTCGCCTTCTCACCATCCTCTGTGACCCTGATCGCACCCTCGCGATCATTCCAGTACGAGTGGGGACCTCCACAAGGGTGTACTTAGCGTTGTGGGATTCCGGTTCTCAGGGCGAGTTCATTCACCCACGTGTGGTGAAAGAAGCCTGCTTACCCACGACAGGGTCTCTGACTCCCATCTATGTCACTCTAGGGGATGACAAGACCCAGCGCTTCTTCGATCAGACGGTCACCGACCTCCCTTTTTTTCTCACTCTCGAGCCGACTGATTGTCCCCCAGCGTCTCGTCGCCACTGCTCCTCTGCACATTTCGATATGATGGAGACGGGGTACGACTCCATTCTCGGCACTCCGTGGTCTCGTCGGCTCCGCAGCATCGAGACCGATTGGACGACCAACACTCTCGTTCTCAAAACGAAGTGTGGACAGACGTATCGCGTACCTTTCATAGGTACCAATGCGACACCACGCCCCGATCCTCATCCCCCGGAGCCTTCCGTGCCCACACCATCTCCTTCTATCGCCGTCACCTCGCCTCGGCAATTTGCTCACTTCATTGGACAGGACGGCGTCACCTTCTTTATGGTGAACGTCACGGATCTCTTACACTATGATCCACCCTGTCCCGACGCCGAGCTCATCCCTCTGGAGTCAGATCCTCCTTCTATCTCCATGGCTCCCATCTCTACTTCCCACCCTCCGCCGTCCGTCGAGTCCACCCCGTCGTCGCAATCCAACGCTGACGCTGAGGAACTCGCACGCTATACGGCTGACTTGGAGCCCGCAATTCGTAACCTCATTCGAGAGTACCACGACGTTTTTCCATCGTCGTTCTCGTACGCCGGCATCCCACCGATGCGCGACGTCGAACACTCCATCCAGCTTGTGCCTGACTATCGTGTTCATCACCAGGCACCCTACAGACTCTCGATCCTCGAGGCCACCGAACTCAAGCGTCAGCTTGAGGAGCTTCTGAGACTGGGTTTCATTAAGCCCAGCAACTCCCCGTGGGGTGCACCCGTCCTCTTTGCTCGCAAAGCGGATGAAACTCTCCGTCTCTGCATCGACTATCGCGGTCTCAACCGCTACACGGTTAAGAACAACTACCCCATGCCTCGTTCCGATGAGCTGTTCGACCGCCTAGCAGGCAACCGCTTTTTTATGAAGATTGATCTTCATAGCGGTTAGCATCAGATCCGCGTCGCTGCAGCGAACCAGCCGAAGATAGCGTTCCGATCGCGCTTCGGCCACTATGAGTTAACGGTGATGCCATTCGGCCTCACCAACGCACCCGCTACCTTCCAGAGGGCGATGAATGACATCTTCAGGTACATCTTGGAGCAGTACGTTCTCGTCTACCTCGACGATATCCTTGTCTACAGTCGTACCCTTGAGGAGCACCTCAGACACCTCCGCAACGTCCTTGACCGCTTGCGCAGACATGGCTTTTACGCCAAGCTGAGCAAGTGTCGCTTTGCCCAACACAAAGTGCATTTCTTAGGACACTACGTGTCTGACCAGGGTCTTCACATGGACGACGCGAAGATCACTGCGATTGCGGAGTGGCCCGTCCCCACATCCGCCAAGCATCTTCGCAGCTTCCCAGGCCTTACCAGCTACTATAGTAATTTCATCCAGTGATACGCTAGGTATTCCTACATCCTTACCTTCACCCTCCTCCGGAAGAACCCGCCCTTGGCTTGGACACCCCTCCACAAGGACGCCTTCCGCGTCCTCAAGAAGGTTGTGACATGCGCACCGGTTCTTCACCTACCCGACTTTGACCGCCTTTTTATCCTTACCATCGATGCGTCAGACTTTGCTGTTGGAGCAGTGCTTCTCAGATTTTCCCCTCCTCTCCTGATTCCTCTCATCCTCGTATCCCTCGCTTCCCACCCCCTACCCCTACCACTGCCTCCCGCCTGACGCCTACTCGTCCAGCTACTGACGAACCTTCTATTGGCTATTCTCCTACCATCGGCAAGGACGGCACTGTCGAGTCTCACTCAGGTGATTGTCTGATAGCCTTCTACTCCCGTCAACTCCTGCCCGCCGAAATAAACTACACCGCTGATGAACGTGAGGTTCTCGCTGTAGTTTATGCCGCTCGACACTGGCGTCACTACCTGCACGACGCACCATTCACGGTGCGCACGGACAACTCTGTTGTCCAGGCCTTTCTGACAAACCGAAGCTCACTCCACGACAGGCTCACTGGTGGCGGGACCTATCTGAGTTCAGTTTCACCACTGAGCACATCAACGGTGAGACTAATCGGGTTGCAGATGCTTTATCCCGGTGCCCTGACCACGATCAGGAGCAAATCCATCTTGCTTCCATCGCGGTCACCTCCGTCCACCACTCGGTGATCAAGGAGTTTCGCACTGAGTACCGCGACTGCCCCGACTATCTCGACATCCACTCGACCCTTCAGAGTGGCAAGACTGTCTCGAACTACTCTCTCGGGAACAACAGTCTTGTGTACTAGCACGGTTCATAGGGCACCAGAGAGCCCCGTATTTGCGTTCCCTCCACTGGACAGCTACGTGTCCGGGCCGTAGCAGAGTTCCATGACCACGCAGCCGCCGTTCATATGGGCTTCCACAAGACGTTGGCTCATTTGAGCCGCCTGTACGTCTGGCCGAAGCGCAAGGACTTTGTGAAGGACTACGTCGCAGAGTGTCCCACCTGTCAGGAGGTGAACAGTGCGAACCACCTTCCTTATGGTTTGCTACAGCCTCTTCCTATCCACGAGGGTCGTTGGCAGTCCATCTCGATGGACTTTATCGGTCCTCTCGTCCTTCGACCCCCCGCGGTCATGATGTTATCCTGGTCGTCGTCGACCGCTTCACGAAGCACGCTTTGTTCCGTGCCGCTATGCCATCAGTGCACGTGAGGTCGCCGACATCGTGTTTGACCGAGTCGTGCGTGACCATGGCTTACCTTTGAGCATCATATCTGACCGTGACCCGCACTTTACCAGACGATTTTGGCGACGGCTCCACGAGGTTTATAGTACCCAGCTCCGCTTCTCCTCGTCTTACCATCCTCAGACTGACGGTCAGACCGAGGTCACGAACAGGACTCTCGGAGATATTCTCCGAAAAATTGTTCGTGACGACCAGCAATGCGATCACCAGCTTGCCCACGCAGAGATAGCCTACAACCACGCCGTCTTGCCAGCCACGGGGATGTCGCCTTACTATTGCGACCTCGGCTATCACCCTCGTGTTCCAGCGGACTTCCTTCGACCGTCAAAGATGCACCCCGACGCGAGTTGTCCCGCGTTGGATGATTGGGTTGCACACATGACGTCGATCATGAAGACCGCACATGAGCACATAGCCGCTTCCCAGACTCACATGGCCGCACGTGCGAACCGGTCGAGGATGAATCATCTATTCAAAGTTGGTGATGATGTGCTTATCGACGCCCGCCACTTTCAGCTCGAAGCGGACACACTTCGCAAGTTTCGGCGTCGCTTCTTTGGCCCATGCCGCATTCTCCAGGCCATCGGTTCTGATACGGTTTCTAGCCCGGTCAACTTCCATGTGAAGCTGCCCGACTACCTACGCCAGGCTCGTGTGCACGATGTCTACCACGTCTCGTTACTGCGTCCCTACCACAGACCGTCTGAGCGTTTTGCTGGACGACCATACGAGCGCCCTCCACCCATCATGGTGGACGGCCACGAGGGGTTCCTCGTTTCATACATTATTGGTCGCCGAGTCACCGACGACAACCCTCCCCATGTCGAGTATCTCGTTCATTGGAAGGGTTACCCTGATGAGGAGGCTACCTGGGAGCCCCTCCAACACTTGCAACACGCTCGCATGTTGGTGCGTGCCTATGACCGTGCTCGTCGTGCTGGGTCGACTGCTCCCCCTCAGCCCATTGACCCTCCTCTTTCTCCCTCGGCTGAGGAGACCGTTGAAGTCGAGCCTGCTCCATCTGAGGCAGACCTTCAGCAGCAGCCGGATGCTTTTGAACGTCCACAGCGCACTCGTCGTCGTCCTGCTCGATACGACGATTGACTCTGACTTATCTTCCCACGTCTTTGACTTCTCAGTACTCCATCCAGTCCAATTTGGCTACTTCAGCTCGTCGACGTTGCGGTTGTCCTCGACGACATTCCGGACTTCTCATCATGGACGTCATTGGCAGCTTCATGGACTTCGTCATGATCAGCTCTGCCTACTTCAGACGTCATCACTCTCTTACCACCTTACCCTGTACAGTACCCTGGTTGTGTCGCTTGATGGTCTCCCTTCGCCGGGTTCCTCTGAGTTGGGCTCTCCCTTAATATACACATAGGCATCGGGACCGTAGCGTTGCCCTCACTTCCCAGCTTACGTATCTAGCTCTGACTTCCTTCACTTTAGGAGTCATTTGCATGATTCCCTTACCCATCACCTTTCTACCCTCTGCCGACCCTCACGCCCTAGTTAGGTGCGCCCAGTATACCGGGCTCCCTTGTTCCCTTGCATGGTCGACCCTCCATAACGGTCACCCCCTTAGTCAAGCATTACCCGCCCTAATGGTCTATTTGTTAGGGTCATTGGTTCTGTTCGCTCCTAGTTCCCTACCCTCATTGAGCCTAATGACATGTGTTCCCCCTGTCACTATGTGTGGATGCCCTTAGGAGTTATCGACCCCTAGGCTGCATTCGCCACCCTCAGAGATCATCCCAACCTTTGGTTTGTGACACACTTCTTATGTGACATATGGTTGTCTTGTTGTTGCTTTGTTGCTCTCAGACTGAGGCTACTGCCTCTGACATTTCTAGGATTTAGTTGTTCTGCTTTTGTTGTTCTTAGGACTTACACACTAGTCAGCTGTTTCCGGACTGAGGCTACTGCCTCCAACATTCTAGGACCTAGATGTCATTACTTCCTGCTTTCCCAGGACATGTATGCTAGTTAGTTGCTTTTGCTTTCACTTAGGCTATTAGTTGTGACATTGCTGTTTTTGTGACATTTTCTATTCTAGGTTGCATCGCATGGACTCAGCATGGAGCTTGCTCCGCATCCTAGACTACTCAGGTTTTCTTTTTCTTTGGTAGAGTTCCGCTTCTTGGTGGAAACGTGCTTGTATCTAGGCGATCCATCACAGGCCGAGGATCGTGTAGCGGACCTTTGGTTGGCCTGCGAGACTAGCCCCTTGGCCTGTTCTCATAAACCTGTGTTGCATTCGGGGCAGTCCAGTCCAGGCCAGTACCTCTGTCGGTACCAGCCAGTCCAATCCAGTCCCGTCAGCCCGCTGGGGTATACCCCAGTTGTTGTCTGTTTTCGGATTCATTCTACATTCACACAGTTTGGAGTGCGTGAGTTGGAGTCTGGCGTGGGAGCTACGCTATGCCATCTCGCTCCCCCTTCTTCCTCCATCTCCATCTCTGTCCCAGGCGGAGCACCACACCTGGTGGGTCCGCCATAGCGTACAACAACTCAGTGCACTTAAACCACCAATACCTCCTAAAACTACTCTGCGTTAACGGACATGACTTGTGGGATGAACAGGCCTGGGCCGGTAAGCCAGATTAAGCCAAGTGGAAAAGGCACAATTTCCACTTTTGATTGGCCGTTAACGCGGAGCACTTTTAGGAGTTACTGGTGGTTTAACTACATCTCAGACGCCGAATGAGCTGCATAGAGGATGACGTCCTAGGGGGCTTATAGATTGTCTAAACTCGGACCAGATTCAAAGGTTGTTGCCCGGTACAAGGGAGTTTTCCATACAATATGAGAAGGACTTGAAACGCGCGACTAAAACATCAGAAAGACCCTACATCAAATGGTTTAACAAGGCAACAAGAACCTCAAATCGTTGCAGTTTACTGTAGGTGACTTAGTCAAGGTCAAAACCAAGGAGTTCCTCCCCGAAGAAGACACATCGCAGAAGTTGTTATCAACTTATAGAGGACATTGACAAGTAAATGGTGTCTCTAAGATGTGGACGGTCCCTCCTACACAATAAAGATTCCACCTCATTTGCACACTTATCACGTTTCCTATGCGTCCAAGCTACTCCTCTATACGACCCATGAAAATTAAAAAAATAATTAAAAAATATATGTGTAATCGAACACGTTCGGGAGGCATTCGGCCTAGCACCTGAACGTAATTGGGCATTCATGAAAGCTCCAAAAGGGATCAATGTCGCAAGTTGGTTACGATCGTGTTTTTCTCAGAGGACCTCGAAATTAGGTCTGCGGGAGTGAACAAATTTAGACCCCCGAAAGTCGGCACCAAGTCT